AGATGGAGGGCGGGTCGATTCAAAATGTGGCTCTCCCCTCAGCGCCGCGCGCATTCGTTTCGAACATCTGCAAGAGCTTCACGGATTGAGGGTGGGTCGTTTTCAAAATATGGCTCTCGCCTTCGCGCCGCGCGCATTCGTTTTGAACATATGCAAGAGCTTCACGGACTGAGGACGGGTAGTTTGCACAATATGGCTCTCGCCTTAGCGCCGCGCACATTCGTTCGAACGAATGCAAGAGCTTCACGGATGGAGGGCGGACAGTTTTCAAAGTGTGGCTCTCGCCTTGGCGCCGCGTATATTATCTTGCAAGAGCTTCGCGGATTGAGTGCTGTTCCTTTTGAACATGTGGCTCTCGCCTGAGTGCCGCGCACAATCGTTCATTGTGAAATTTACCTGATTTTCACGGAATCGCATGATTAGCGTACCAGATATAACGATTTGGAAGGATTCAGGGTTATGAGGGCGCAACAGTTACGTTGGTTCGCGGTGTTGAAGTTCCGGGAATGGCGTTCTGACACGGTTCAAGATCGTCAAGACTCAACACTCAGGTTGATCCGTGGCGTTGGCATCCCGAGAACAATGTGTTAGCATGCTGTAGGGCCTTTCAACGGTTGTCTTCCAACGAAGCGATTAGTTCCCTCAGTGGCAATGAACCGTTGTGGGGTCTACGAGAAGGGAGCTTGGTGGGAGCGCTGATTCCAACATCGCTGATGGCTACTGGGTTCACACTGGTCCTCCTCCTCCCCTCCTCCTCCTCCTCCCTCCTCCGTCCTCAGTCCTCCGTCCTCCCTCCTCATCCTCCTCCTCCTCCTCCCTCCTCCGTCCTCAGTCCTCCATCCTCCCTCCTCATCCTTCTCCTTCTCCTCCTCCCTCCCTCCATCCCTCCGTCCATCACTTCCCCCCCTCCTCCCTCCTCCCTCACCTCTCTTCCTCATCTGATTACGACTAGGTTTCATATAAGAATGCGTGCTTTTATGCATGAATATTGTTAGGTGTATTCATACTACCATGTGTATTATTTTCCGTGTACGTAGTAGTATGAATCGCCTCAGTCTTATGTGTGTTATTCTTCTGCTTATGAGTATGGATAGTATTCATATGATCGTGCTTCAACTTATGAGAAAATGTGATGATAGCAGAGTTAGCATTCGTGTTATGAATTCTCTTCTTCCCTTCCTATTACACTGAATAGTATTAGTATTCGTCTGATGCTTGTAGATACAGCTCATCCATAGTGCTATTATTAGGCTGGTAATACTAGTATTATTAGTAGTAGCATTCGTATTCGTATTAGTGTTGGTATGCTTCCTCCTCCTCCTCCTCCTCCTCTTGCTTCTCCTCCTCATCCTCCTCCTCCTACTCCTTCTCCTCCTCCTCCTCTTCCTGCTCTTCCCTTCCTCCTCCTCCTCCTCATCATCATTCACCTCTTCCTCCCCCTCCGCCTCCGCCTCGGCCTCCTCCTCCGCCTTCCTCCTCCTCTCTTCCTCCTCTCACTCCTCCTCCTCCTCCTCCTCCCCTCCTCCTCCTCCTCCTCCTCCTCCTCTTCCTCCTCCTCCTCCTCCTCCACCTCCTCCTCCTACCTCCACGATCCCCCCTGCCCTTGATGGAGGAGAAGCAACGGTCAACGAGCAAGTGCATCAAATGACAATCGCGAGCTGCGAGCATATCCGTACCCGCACCTTTGCGGTCTGGATTTTGGCGCGAGATCCTGCGGATACGCGGCCGCACGGAGACGTTCTGCGCTGGACATCCGCGAAACGAAAACGCCCCAGATCCGCGGGGCATAACATGGGATCACCACTATGGATGGGGATCGATCCCCACTGTTTTAAAGTAGGTTTCCGCGCGCGCACCTCCCAGGTTACGACAAATACACCGCCTACATCGCCTAGTGCGACAACAATGGATTCTGAAGTATTCCCCTACATGGATCTGGCAGTTCCTGAGATCCCACAACAATGTCTGAGGATTCCCTCTGATTCTCTTCCATGGATCTGGCAATCCCTTGAATCCCACGGACTTCCTAGGATCCCATACGACTCTCTCCTAGGAACCTGGGAATTCGTAGAATTCCCAAGATTCCCTGGGACTCCCTCGCGCGAATCTGGTACTTCTTTAGATTCCGAAAAGTTCCTAGGATTCCCTCAGATTCCCGCCAAGGAATCTGGCAATTCCCGAGATCCCAGGGGATCCTAAAATCCTAAGAGTTACCCGGATGTCCTAGGACTCCCTCCCAATAATCTGGCAATCCCGAAACGGTCCCAAGGAATTCCGATGATTTCCAAGACTCCCTCCCATGAATATGTCAGTTTCTGGAGTCCTGAAGAATTCCTAAAAATCTGGTGAGTCCCTCGGATCCCTCCCAGGATTTCCTAGGATCCCAAGGAGTCCCCAAAGATCCCGAGGAACTATGAGGACTCCCTCCTAGGATTTCCTATTTCAAATCTGGCAACTCCGGCGATTCCCAAGGAATCCTCTCGATTCCCTAGGATTGCTTCCAAAGAACCGGGGGATTATCGGACGCAGGACAATTCTTCAGGTTCCAACAGATTCCACGGATTCCCTCGGATTCCCTCCTGGACACTTCCTAGAACTCTTCGGAATCCTAAGAGCCCCTCCTAGGACTCACTCCAACGAGGGCCAACTCTAGCTAATCACTGGGGTTGTGATAGCTCCTTGTTGGGGTCATTGTCAAGTCCAGCTGGGTCTTCGACGTGTAGCATCTTCAAGCAAAAGTCTCCCGTAACCGACGCCACGCAAGAGGCCCCGTTTTTTTTTCGAAATCACTGGGGATCGATTCCCAGGGATGTGAAAAGCGACCTCGGCATCACTTTCAAAATCGCTGGGAATCGATTCCCAACGATTTCGCGCCAACGGCCAACAACAAATATTTATAGTTAGCCACACCCCCAACCCTAGAATACCCCTCTTAGAATCCGATTGGAATCCCATAGGAAGCCTACAGGAATGCAGCAGGGAGAAGGGATCCTAAGAAATCTGTGGGACCCCTGGGGAATCTCTCGAACCCCGAAATCCCCAAGACAACTTGTCATCCAGCTGATGGCATAGGGCGCGCAACTGGGAAGCCCAACTAGGACGTGGTGTGAGAAGGTCGGGTGACGTAGGAAAAAATGGGAGGGCTCGGGCGGAGGTGGGAGGTGGGCCGACGTGGAAGACGTGGGAGGAGGTGGGAAAGGGTGGGGCGAGGTGGGAAGTGGTAGGATGAGGCATGAGGACTCAGGAGGGCGAGGAAGGAGATGGGAGGACTCGGGAGGACGCGGGAGGAGGAGGTCGGAGGAGGGTGGAGGAATCGCGAGGACGTGGGAGGAGGCGGGACGACTCGGAAGGAGCTGGGGGGATGTGGGGAAACGGGGTGGGGAATTGGGAGTAGGTGTAAGGAGGTATGGGTGGCGGTAGGTTGGGAAGGTGGGAGGAGGTGGGAGGAAGAGGAGGAAGAGGAGAAGGGGGAGGATTAGGAGGAGGTGGACAAGGAGGAGGTAGGAGGAGGTGGGTAGAGGTGGGAGGGAGTGGAGGCGGCATTGGCATACGTATTGTCGTAAGGACCCTCAAAAAAGAAAGAAGGGCCTCTGCGGCCACAACGAACCCGGTCATCAGAAGGTTCCCCGGTATTGGCCCAGGGAGCGGCTGAGAAAATGGAGCCCCTGCCGACCCAAATGCGCTCCTAAACTTCAGGGCATCGGCTACACGGTGGCTCCGTGTCGTGACGCCTTGGGAAGTGGTTTCTGACACCGCATGTATCGTTCAATCTTGAACGGCCTACGCAAGTGGGAGCCCTCGGCCCAACCTGGAACCATGCTTTCGCACCGAGGGCTCGGTTCTGAGAATCCAGGGGTGCGAAAGAGCCCCCTCCCCCAAGCGTGTCGCAACATTGAACGCCCCCGCTAGGCTCGCCGCCGCGCCTTCTCTGTGCCAGCGAACTGCCTGCGACCAGAAGCAACAACCACGAGCAACGAGAGCCCGCAGCCCCCCCCGTGGTGCCATCAGGCTGCTGTTATATTCTCCCTGCCCCCATCCCACCTCCTGTTCCTCCTCCTCCTCCTCCTCCTCCTCCTCCTCCTCCTCCTAGCGGGGCAATCTTGGCGTGAGGACCCTAAAGAAAGTGTTCGCGCAAGCAACGCCTTGGGAAGTGATTTTTTGGAGAGCCGACAGGTAAACTACTGCAGGAGGGAATTGGGAAGAAGTGATAGACACGACGGCCACCAGAGAGCATCCACGAGGGCCCCACCTCCGACATACCGTGGCTACCAGTATACTCTTCCCTACATACACATCAAAGGGAACCAGTAGGGTACCTCAACCGGAGATCAGGGCACTGTTACGACAATGCATGGAACAACTATCGTCCAGTCCATTCTGGACGAGAAGTGAGCCGATAGAGAGAGAGGAGAGAACAGGATTGAGTAGGCGAATTAGGCCCCCCAGCATGAGTTTGGAAGCAGAGGTCTCCTGTTTCTCCCCCCCTCTCCTTTTGACTTGTCGTGTCGTCGTCTATTCCCCCTAGCTTGGGTGCCCTGCTAGCCCAGCGCGTCCCCTACCATAGGGCACGCGGAAGGGCCAGCAGCTGCTCCCCCCGCACTGACCCTCAGGGACGGGACTCGTACTCACAAGGTAGCGGGCCTCTCTCACGGGGCCACCTCGGAGCTCACCCCTTGAAGATTCGAGGTATGCCCCCTGCCGGCCCTAGTGAGACGTCAAGACTTTTGCACGACCAAATCGCAAGGAATGTTG